GTGCCTGTTAAATACACCACAGTTTATTTCATTTCAGCAGACCTTGGTGTGTGTGTGTTGCTGTAGGCTCTCTCGGTGAGGGGAGGAAATATGGTACTGTGGCAGTTTGTAGGCTAAAACAGAGAAGACTGAAACTGATTGCATGTAACACAGTGGATGAAGACCCAAGATGAATGCATAAAAAATAGCTATAATATCCTCAAAATTTGATATAGATTATTACAATTATATTTATAGTTCTAAGAAGAAACAAATGAATTAGGAGTAAAATAAATTTGTGATTGACTAAAATTGGCTTTTAAAATAATAAAAGGCACTTAGTTTATCCAACAGGGGGCATCCTGCAACTTACCTGTTTGCTTCACAACTTTGAAATGTCACAAATAATAAGTTAACAACCAGCTGATCCGAGCAAAGTCAGACAGAGCGTAAATCTGTAATCTGTGACTTATTGTGACTGTATAACAGATTATTTTTAATCTGTCATATTATCTCAGTAAGGACTCATAATTAACTACATATGACAAATGTTTACATTTCATATGTCTGAAAAAAGAAAACAGTCGGCTGATTTATTGAAATTTTAAAACACTTTTAAACAAATATCAATAACTACCTTAAAAATCCTATATCAGTCGGGCTCTAGTTTAAATGCTTTTTAAGTTAAGCATTATTAATTAATGATCATTAATTAGTTAACTAATGCTATTAGGAGAATGTGAATAAACAGCTACTTTGACTTTATTTATAAAATGTTTATCTACAGTGTTTAAGATATTTGCTGAAGTTAAACTAGGGATGGACTGTACTGGGCAATACCAATTTGTAACCTGTATTTAAGCTGGCAACTGCTTAAAAATACCTTCAGAATAGCATAGAATAGAATAGAATAGCCCTTTATTGTTATTAGTATTAGTGACAGAGACCTCCAGAAGGAAAACCTCTTGAAGAACTGCAGATAAGACTAAAACGAAATATCAGGGTTTAAAAGATCAGCAGCATACATCCATAAACATTTCAGCATACTGTCCCCTAGGAGTCAAATATTTAATTTGATTCTGCAGAGGGTAATTTTAAAAAAGCACCTTTAAAACAAAAACTGAGTTAATGTGATTGATATCTTGTAATGTACATACTATACTGACATGTTGTACCAGTATACTTAAATCTCTTAATGAATTATTTCTAAAATACATATATCTGAAAGCTCACTTTGCTAATTAACTAAATAGTCAACATATTGTTCTATGTTGTATTTATTTCGCATCTGAAAAGAATTTTAAGTGAGCTAATGTATACAGAGGTTTCTATATTGAAATTAATTAGTCTATATATTGTAAAATGTAAAACCAGAAATTGCATATTTTAGTAATATTTGTCGATATGCATGCATGAATGAGAGCAATTGATATATTTTCCCAATTTATGTCCATATGGAAATACACTTTAAGTAGATAGCTATAGCCAGTGTATATTTTTCAATTTAAGAGTCAAGTCTCCCAAAGCACACACAGTAGGGTCTACTCAGTCCTCTGTATCACTTCTATAGTGGCCTGAGATCTTGATGAATATCGAGCTCATGTTTCACTGACTTTGCATCTCATCGCCTACCAGTCAACCAGATTTCCACCCAGAACTTGTGTTGGAACAATGACAGCTACTTATTCAGCATGCGACAGGTTTAATACAGACTCACATCTCTGACATCGCTGTTGTCTCAGACTCCCACTTTTCATCCACTGATTGCATGTAGAACACGCATTTGTGTTGAGTGCATTTTTGGTTTTTGTCTTGAATAACACTCTTTCCAGACTTATTTGAATGTATCTGGTATCAGTAGGGAATGGCATAGTGGTGCAGCAGTTAGCAGTGTCACCTCAAAGAATCGAGTCTTGTGTTCGAATCCACCCTGGAGCCTTTCTGTGCAGAGGTTGGTTGCATGGTGTCTCCATGGGTTCTCTCTGTCTGTGTTAGACCTGTGACAGATTAGCAACCTGTCATTGGTGTAGCCGGCCTCTTGTCCTGTGACAGGTGCAACAGGCTGCCTGTTCAAATACATGTAGATAAAGTCACAAGAACAGCTCTTTAGCTTAGCAACTGTAGTTGTACAACTGTGTGACTTTGCATCGTTTGATCACCAAAGGTTTTAATTAGACTTAGGTGAGTGAGGATAGCTGAGAAATCTTAAAATGGCCAAGGGAAAGGTCATCTATCTTGACAAAAAATTACTGTTAGCCTCTTAACTTGTCCATGTAAATAGTGTGTATTGGAAGATATAGTCTATAAACGATTGAGTGATGCTGACAAAAACTGGGATTTGCAACAGTGGTCTTGCTTTTAAGATAGAAGCTACAATCAAATCTTTAGCTGAACAATCAAAATCAAACTAACTGTAAAAAGCTGTTTACTTACTTTGGTGAATAATGCAACTCAGAGAGTGCAGCAGGCAAAAACATGTGCTGTGGGTTTGAGTAGTCGAGAGGATTTAAGACTTCAGAATTGTTTCTAGATGTCCTGCTAATTAGGACAGGTAGATGTACTACCTCGGTATGTCTTTGTAAGTGTATGTTAGTCCATATTACCTACATGTAAGTCATGTTAGCTCTGTGGAGGTATATATTAAAAAAAAGACTTCCATCTATATTTTTGCACATGGCCATCCCTACAGTTGTAATACACCGTTTCTCCATGACAAGCTGGAAGATTAAAACCTGCAACCACAATGTCAGAGCCAATGTTATCATAGTTAACTAGATGTTAACAGTTAACCCTCTGCCTTTACTAAACACACTAGCTAGTTCGCAGCTTTGCTAACATAGATAAATCTACAATTATTACAAAGTAATTGTAAAAACTCTAGACATCAGCGATTAGCCAATATTACTTACTTATTACTTACTTATTACTTACTTATTACTTACTTACAAGAAGGCAAGCTAAGTATCTGCCTGGCAACCTTTCAGACTTTCCAGCATTTATTATTTTTCAGTCTCTTACTCCCTCTCTTTTCCCTTCTATAAATGTCATGTTCTTTCACATTGCTGCTGCCATTGTTTCCATATTGAGAATACAAAGGTAGTTTTGTCCTCTAGCTAGGTGAAGACCCATTGGTGGTAGTGTGTTATAAAGCATTACGCGACTTTCCCAGGACAGTTATGAGAGTCTGAAGCAGTTATTTTAAGGTGTAAAAGTTGCCTGACTGTTGCATCCAGAATACATATATGCAGAAATAAATATAGAGATAATAAAGAGAAAAATACTCATAGTTTGGCAATGAAAAAAGACATTACTAAATGTGCTATTACATTTTGTAATGTAAAAAAGATTGGTAGTGTATTTTTGCACTTAATGTGGTAGTAACATCTCTCAAAAATGAGATGAAATTTGATTAACAAAATAAATTCAAAATATTAATTTGTCTTATTTTAGAGATATTCCATGTATTTTATTTTTTTTATTATTTACATCATTTTTTTTTTCCTCCGTGTAGATCACAAACTGTACTTTGGACACACACACACACACACACACACACACACACACAAAACCCATGCTTGATTAGTGTGTCTTTGTGTGTATTACTCAGCTCGCTATACTGCTCTACATTTTGAGCC